ATATATATATATATATATACTTTTTAAAATTCACTGTAAAACTACATTTTCAAGACTTATACAGTTCAAAACTGTTAGTCTTAATTAAACGGCAAAAAAAAGTGCTAGCCAATTAACGCAAATAAAAGCTCTGCAAAATGTAGATTTTTAGAGGTCTTTGTTGTGCTGCTTCGAACAATTTTTAAATAATGTAAAAATATTCGTGTAATTATCATCTAGCTGCATAGATAAAACTAATTAATTTAGCGCGTGATATGACTAAAAATGTAGCTTAGAACTTTCTCGAGTAGAGCTTGAGCAGAAGCATCAAAAAACTTTTTTTTTAATGTTATAGCCGTTACAAATTTACAAGCGTCTCAGGTAAATTTAAAACCGACAAGTGACCACTTTGTCTTCTGCCAAGTGCTAAAAGTTTTAACCGAACTACTGAACAAAAATTGCAAAAAAGCTGCAAACAAAAGTTTATTTAATGACAGATATGATTTAACACATCTATTTTTCAACTTTATCGTGTACGAAAGAAAACTTTCCCTCTATCAGTAGATGAATAAACAAAAAAAAGCAACGGTAGCTGAATAGGTTTAAAATATTTATCTTTATCTTATGTCAGCTTATAGGTCTTGGTCGAAAACGTTTTTCGTTTCTTACCGTCGTTGGAATTCGTTGATCTTAGTTTCAACAACCTTGCTATTGTTCATAGCAGCTCATTCGCTCAAGCTCTACGGTAACACCACTAATTTGATAAAAACTACCTTCTCATCAATTAAGCTAAAAATGTTCTGAGCTTCTGCCAATAATCTTTTTTTTTTTTACAACCTGTATCGTGGAAGCGTGAACTATCATTGAATCACTAATAATTTTTCCAGATTAGGAGAAATTAATTTATCTTTTAATCACATCAGCAAGTTCGAGTACAATTCTTTCTCTCCTCTTTTCCAGGTATATTACTTTCATTTTATTGGTGCAGTAGTTTTTTTCTGGAATTTTTTTTTTCTGAAAATTTTATTGTTTAGTTTTTGCCACAAAAACAATTCGGTAAATCAACACTCTAAAAATATTGTGATATTCAACTAGATAACTCTGTTGCAGCTTAAAATCTTAGACTTGTCTTATAATAATATTGTAAATATTGCTGGCGGTGATTTGCGACAGTTGGTTGACCTCAGGAAACTAAACCTTTCTGGCAACCCCATTTCAGTAATACAGTCTACTAGTTTTTTGGTCTCATCTCTGGAGGTTCTCTATACGGTCTTTTAGCAGCTTGTTAATTTTACTGCATAAATAAAAGATGTACATATATATGAACGACTACGCAGCTAACGTTCTCTCAACATTTTAACTTTTCTCATACTTAATTGAAATTGCGTTGTTTATAAGGAATTTTATGAAATTTCAGGAGCTTATCGTTTCAAAATGCAGAAAATTAAAAGTGGTAGATTCACATGCTTTTGCACAAATGATCAACCTGCAATATATTGATCTCAGCGAGTCTGATAAACTAGAATACTTTGCACCTTCTGCACTGCCCATTAACGAGACGATCAGAAGGTACTTTTCAGACAAAAATTGATAAAGAGAGATTTTTGTTGTTGGATTTTAATCTATTTGCAAAGAAACAAGTAAAAAAAATTTTCGTTTTTATGTGTGACTTGTCAATGAGTCATCGGTGAGTGCCAATATCAACATATTAAATCACCAATTTACTTTTCTGCTTTAGGCTAGATTTACATAATACAGCTCTTAAAGTGCTTTCGAGAAATGTCTTGGAAAGTGCGGAGCAAATTTCAATGCATAACATCAGTTTCCAATGCGGCTGTCTTTACGGTTTAACAGGTCTAATCCGCCAAAAAGTGCAGAATCCTGGAAGCGTTACTTGTATCACTGCACGAGGAAATAGAGAAAGGTGAATAGAATAAAACTTTTGTAGTCGCTTAAATTCTTGCATCTGAGTTGGTTTTGGTTAGCTTTTTGTCGAATATTCGAATGAATATTCTGTTGTTTGGGTGGTAACTTAAATGCATTTGTTTAGCTTCTAGATCCTCAAATAATAAGAAAAATATTTTTAAAGTTTCTTCATTTAAAAAAAATTTCAGATTAGAGAACGACCAAATTTACTGGATTAATTTTAAGTTTATGGTAGACAAAGTATATTTTAACATTATTGTCCGGCAAAATCCCATAGGCGACAGAAGAAGGCAAATCAAGTAATATATGAGCTAAACTATGTCAAAAAAGAGCTGTTTTAGGATTGACAGGCTTTCTGCACTAGAAATTTGCGACATGACACCGATCCTGCCTTTTGGTAACAGTTTAAGCGTCACTGTTGGTAACTCATTGGATATTTACTGTATACCAAAGTTACCTGCCGATGAAGTTAGTTGGGTATTCCCCAATGCAACGGGGAATCCAAGAAAGGTTTTCAAAGGTCATGAAATGGAAGAATTTCGAAAGTCTTCCAACCCGTCATATTATCTGTTTCAGTCACCTTTTTACGGCAGCAAGTTTTACAAGCCGCGTATTGCTGTGCATCAGGAAAAGCTTAGGTAAGGCATTGTAAGAAAATACTTTGAAATAACAATTTTGAAGAATAATTCGCTTTTATTTCAATAAGTTCTACAATTATGTCTTAAAAAACACACCATTTTTTGTATGAGCTTTGGCTACAAATGGCATTTTTCTGGTCTCATGATCGATAGTAAATACTTAGGTTGTTACAATGTTACAAATACTTGAATGTTATTTTTTTTCTAACATTTGCTTCTAATGAAACCGAGACATTGCGAGAGAAAGCGGAGATGAAAGGCTTTTTTCTTTGGTTCGTGAATTAACAAAATTTTGCTATCTGACAGTTTCTTGTGCATACAAATAAAGAAAATACCACTTCTAATCATAATTCTCGTCAAATTTTTTTTCAAAATACTTCTTCTATCTTTTGGAAGCAAAACAGAGTTAGTTAAAGAATCTGAATGTAACAACTGTGAAAATGAGAGTCGTTAATAGGGCAGTATATCAAATTATCTGTAAATCACACCAAGTTGAACATGAAAATCGATTGGACAACCAGTCTTCTTGAAAAAGAAAACACCTTGCAGACATGATCTTTCTAACGAGCGGCAACCAAAAGCTAACACTGTACGATACCCTTGGCCGGACTAAAAAACTTTTGAAAAATTAACAAATTCTTCTTACTCTTCTTTCTTTCAATGTTTCTTGCAGCACGAAAATACTGAAGATTGACCTAAAATCTTCAAAAACTCCTGCTTTGCTTTTACAGTCTTTCTATTGCTGTCATAAAATATGGTACAGAAATTCTAAGAAATTCCCATTTTTACAACTTTTTCTAAAATTTACAACTTGCATTCACTAGTCTAAGCAAAAGTGACTATAAAACTTCTTTACTTTTTGAAAGTTTAAATATTTTTAAGCACCATATCTGGTAAATCCGAGTGTGATCGATTTTTTTGAATGACTTCATGCTAGTTGGTAATGCATAGTGTTGACGGTCATTAATCATTTTGTTTAAGTGACTAATTTGAGCTTAGTAACTAAAAATCTTCGCTTAATTCTGTTTCTTTTAAAACGTTATCGTTGCAGATTTGAGGTTGTAACCGTAGAAGATAGTGGAATTTACAAGTGTGCTGTCAAAAGAGATCAAAATATCGTTGAACAGTCAATTAAGGTTAACGTAGTAAAGCCATTGATAAGTCTTCGGGTAATTGAGGTAAAACTTTTCCTTTGCAAATTACAAGTCTCGAAAAGGAATTATATCCCAGTTTGAAAAGCGTCAAAAAAGTAATATTCGTTTTTAAAATAATTAATAGTTATATTCAAAATTTTCTGTTTAGGCTGGTCCATACTATATTACAGTTGCGTGGAATGCGTCTTTAGACATAAAAGCTAAAGACCGAGTATTTTACTTTCTCAGCGCAAGTAGTAGCTTTAGTTTAAGCAATAAAATGATTCAGCTATCTCTGTATAACCCGTGGTACAGCTATAACATTGTTCGACTAAAGCCTAATACAGTAAGTTACTATTGATAGTTAGGACAAAGTGGTGCACTAGTTTTTCTCGTATTATCTTTCCAGTGTCTGCTTTTGTAAATTTATTCGTCAATTTTATGCTTTTTTCTGATTACTTTCACCTTAAATTTATTCAGCAATAGGAAAACAAGTTTGTAAGCTTGTAATTCGGCTATTCTAAAAACGCTTTGATTGCTTTTTTCTATTACAATATGGTCATCTCGAATTGCCCCAAAAACATTTAGCTTCTGAAGCTAAGAACTATAAAACTCAGTAAAAAATGAATGTGTAAAAATATGACTCATTGCAGAATTATACGATATGTCTTTCTTATGCATTACGGGATAATTATCGAGAAATGTTGCTGTTTAAAAGTTGTACAATTACCTCAACGTCAAGAAACCCAGCAATTTTTGGTTCTATTGGAATCGTCTTTTTGACCTTACTCTTGACAAGCTCTTTTATTTTTTGCTTCATTACTTGTCTCAACTTTGTTCAGTTCCGGATCAATATTTCACAAAACGAAAAGCACAGGTATTTTACGTCAAAGTTCCCAATTAGTAAAAAATTTTACGAGCAGGCATTAACAAAGTGATAAGTCAGTCATTAAAAACGATGATTAAGAAGACATAAGGATTAAGCAAACGCTCAAAAAACTCGCAGAAACTTCTGCTGCAGGTCAAGAATGAACCAGAGCACAAGCGGACAAAGTATTCTAACGTCCAGTACGAATGGGCGAGATCTGACAATGTCATTTGAAAACTACTGTCAGGTACAGTTATCAAAAATAATTCATTTTCGTAGAATAACCCTGAAAGTGTAGCTAAAAATTCTCTTCAAGTCATTTTCAGCATTTTTTAGTGACCTTAAACCAACAGCTTTAACAAGTGTTTGCTTTGGTAACTATTTTAAAACCTTAACGTTTTAAAAGGAAAATACTTTATTTAGCTTATTGACTGTCTTCGCCTAATGTGGTTATTAGAGAGCTGCTACGATAGGGTTAGAAAAAGTTCTGCAAGAAACTTTAGAAATATGCATTATGCATTGGAGCATTTTTCCCCTCAAACATTTGTGCACTTTAGTCACCGCAAAAATAATTACTTAATAAGCCAAAAATTAGGTCATTTCGCGTAGAACTTTGTCACACGTTATACCTATCCGTAGAGAGTTTAATCAAATTTACTTACCGATAACCTTTCTAGTTTTTTTGTCCAATTAGAGCTTTAACACGGCTACAGTTGTTCAGCTTGTTTTTTTTTTTTTTTTTTTTTGTAACGTTTTGCAGCTGCACTAGCGGCGTGACCCTCGTCACTGTCGATCAGTTTGTCAGTTGTGAGTTTTCTTGGCTTCTCGCTAGTGTTTCAGTGCTCGGTAAGGAGGGAAAATATTGATTAGTACGAGTCGTTGATACAGACAAAATAAGTAGAAAACTTGTGGTTCATTAGCATAAAAGAATCAAAAAGAATATTCTTGGTTGTACTTCATCTAGATAGGAAATCAAAACTGCAGCTTACAAGATAAAGTGCCATAAAACTAGAAACAAAAACAAGATTTTGAAAACTGCTTCAACTGAACACCTCGCTCATCTTTTATGCGTTTTCTTTCGGTCATCTCAGCGATGTGACTTTAACTGCCTTCAGCAAGCTTGCTTCTCTGGCTATTTATTGATTCTGTCCATCACTAACCATAAGGACCTGTTTTCTTGACAACCCCTGCGGACAACTGCGGGTAGAGACAAAGGCGGTAACGAGCGCAGGCAGTACTTTAGGCGCGAAAAGCAAAGATGTGAAAAAAAGACTCGTTTAAGTGTGTTTTG